CCCTGTTTAGTTAACATACACGTCTTACTATCTGACGTCAATACTAAACCTTTATCCATCGCGGCACCGCACGAAAATAAATTAAATTTTAGTCCTGGCACGTGCAACACGTTTGCCATGTAATTTTTATTCCAATTACCGTTTACGTATGATAATATATTAATATTACCTCTACCTGCTGCGTACAGATTCGTCCCATCACCTATCGTGATTTGTTGCGTGTTGTCCAGTGGTTCATAACTTGAAAACCACTCTCGATTTGCGCTCATATGATCCGACGCGCCCGAGTCTAGTACCCACGCATCTGTTGCAATATTATTTATTCTTGACTCGCCTACGAATGCGTTCAAGTTCGCACCTATAGTACCGGTTTTACCACCGTGTACACTTTGTAGAAAATTTCTACAGTCTCTTTTATAATGACCTAGTTTACCACAGTAATAACACTTAATATTACTTTTATTAGTAAATTGATTTTTACCTTTTCCATAATTACGACTGCCGTTTCTTCCATCAGATCTGTTTTGAAATTTGGCCGGAAATGCACTCGATTTCTCTTGTTCACCAACTTCACCTTTGATCTGGATAACCCGTGATTCTTCAATCAACAATCGACTAGTCAAATTATTTATATTTTTACTTCCCGTCGGGACTGAATCCCAAGCACTGTAAAAATGATTATATTCTTTTGGTAGTGTCATTAGTATTTTTGTCATAACCATGTTATCCGTAACTGGTTCACCCGCTACTCTCAGTTTCCTTCCTAAATTGACCAATTTAGAAATATGCATCGACATGTCATCTGTTGACTCCTTTGAATAACTGAAAAATTGTTGTTGAAGCAAATGTAAACTTGCCTCAGACTTCTGCTCGTAAATACTCAGCAGTTTCTCCCACATTTCCAATGCAGTCTCACAGTTAATCAAATATTGTAATGGACCATCGTCCACTGAGGTAACTATAATTTTTTGACATTTACCGTCCGCTTTTATCCAAGCGCTAGTATGCCTTTGCCAACGTGCTTTGGCTTCCTCGTCGGTCTCTGCTGCCGACTTTTTTATAGGTAGACTTGGTTTCGTCCATTCACCTGAAACTATCTCACCTAGGTACTTCCAAGGCATTTAAAATGACCTTCATCTGGAACTTCCATAACGACCAGTTTTCCGCACATAATTTTGTTATCTTCACCGTGTCTTCCATGACCGATGGATTCCCGTGTACTTTCCTGTATAACAATTTATAACAAAACTTTACCTATGTACACTGTTCCGCCGTTTTCCGAAATCCAGGATATCTCCGACTGGTTGTAGTTTTCTGCGTTAATACAAATATAAAAATACTTCGATCACGAATCCACTAGACTGTTTGTCTTGGTTATTGACTGGGCCCATAACCTGTTGAAAGTGAAGCTTGACGGACTAATGATGTTAGCATTAATATAATAAGTAATAACACGACAATATGATTATGTATAAGTATAATATATAATAACGTACAACTGGACAATTAAACTGTGACTATACACACACACCGCGTACACTCGGTATGACAGCGTCTGTGCAAGTGAATATTACATACATCAAAGGCCCTCTATATATGCACGACCGAGGTCATGTTACATCCGTAAAGAGAGTGAGTCTTATGCTCGTACATAACTAGTTACTATATTGTACACACGTGTCAAGGCTGACTACATATACTACATATTAATTGTATATTCCAACAAAAAATTAAATTACATCTTATTTGCCTAATATGTATTTTTTTGTTTTAGATTGAAATTACTTGAGTGGCAAGCTTTACATTCATCTTGGAAAAGGTATCCAAAACTAAATGCCTGTTAGTTATTTTTGGACAACTTCTTTTCGAAATTTGTTTCAAATCTTGTTCATGTAATTGTACATAATGGTCCCATTTAATGTAATTATGTTTATCACTTATCTAATTTTTATTATTAAATAATCATTAAAATAATTCGTAAGTTTTATAATAGTATAATTAATTACCCTTAACATTTTGTTATTGTATAACCTGTTTCGGACTGTTTTGATTAAGTGAGATACATTGGAGAAAAAATATTTGTTTTGAAACAATATTTAGACAAACCGACTACGTCATACCTTCAAAAATATTATTCTCTATCGGTTTTGTAATGGGTGATTTTACTCTAACATTGCTTAAAAACATAAAAAAAAAATGATTCTGCAAAATTGGGTTTTGTTTATGTTGCATGTGGGCCAGAGAGAGAAAACAAAATTGCGCTGACATCCTCTTAAATTTTACCAACTATGTTTTTAAAATTTAATTAATATTTACTCTAATTATTATATGTACAATACTTTCTGGACATTTTTAAAAATGAATACCTTATACTACTAAGAGGCAAGTGTATACTAATAAGAACAAAATATAAGATGTGTTAAATTATAATTTCATGACAAGTTTAATACAGTTTTTAACAAGTTATTTGCAATATTCTACATGTTCAGTCATGTTATTTGAAACTTATTTGATATTTTTGTTTTATTATTGTTTTTGTCCAACAGATGTCGCTTCAGCTTCACAATTTCTCCCACCACAAAAAGTCCGTATTAAAACCTGACCGCATATTTTACCGTCGTTGCCAGTCCATATTATCTTAGTTCATGGCCAAAACGCGCCTATTGGTATTAAAGAATGGATTGGCCATTTGTCGTTATCACATACTCGACTACATCATTATCATTCTACTACGACCACAGTAGGTTGTAGTTGTAGATCTACGAGGAAGTCGGATTGTTCATCATTCTGCATTCATATAGGTAGACGGTAGTCGAGTTTCACTTATAGGCTATAGCCGCTTAATGTCTGTAATACCTGATTTTCTGTAGCACACATAGGTGGACAACTTCAAAGTTAATCGATTTTCATTTCAGAATTCAGGTTACTTATTTGCTATACACTCCAACACGGTTTTCGGCTTTACATTTTTTTACATTTACACATACGAAAAAGCACCGGACATTTGTTGGGGAATCGTATCGTTGTATTACCGACATTCATGGACCATGGGAGATTTCTAGACACTACAACTCTACTTTTAAACTTTCCCGCCTTCGAAACGAGACCACCAAACAGCCAGGCCTTATCGCAAATTCCTATCACCAAATCACCAAGGCTGGGCAAGTTAACGATTTTTTTTTAACTCGTTAAGTTAAGTTAATATAAGAAAAAAGTAAGTCAAATTAAGTTAAAAGTTAACTCATGTTTTTTTATAACTTCGTTAAGTTAAAAATTAATGAAAAAAAAATTAACTTAATTAAAATTTTAATTATTATTTTAAGATTAATTATTAGTAAGAAAAATAGGTTACCTACAAAATGATTAACAAATTTGGAATTTATATCAAGCTCAGATTTCTGTGCCCATGTGGCCAACCATGTAGTATGCTTGGCAATATTTACTGAGGATTTAGGGTGGGCAGTTGATGATTCATATGTTTGAATAAATAAAATAATATTTTTATTTTTATTGATTGTTGTTTTTTTAAGAATAATTTAAGGTCAATTTTCTTTAATTTGTTAATAAAACCTTAGTAAATAGTAAATACTAAATACTATTCTAAATTATAATTAAATTCTAATAGGTACCTACTTGATAGACAAAAAAAAATATACATTTAATAGATTTTATACTTACCACATATTATAGTCTAAGTAAATTATAACTATAAATTTATAAGTATAATATATAATATTGTCTGTGGTCGAAGATAGCCAATACACACTTTTAGACTTTAGTACTTACTTTAATTACATATAACATAATCATTATGGTTATGTTATTTCATGGTAATGGATTATAAGAAATAAATTAAATATAGAAACTCACATAGATAGTCGTTTTATAAATTAGGTACTTAATGAAAAATGAAAAATTTTAACCTTTCTATAATTTATAACTAATTAAACAACTATTCAACAATTTACTAGTCTACGTCTACTATGTTATTTTTTAGATAGACTTATTTGTATTTGATGTTTTAGAAGTTGACAATAATTTCGTTTTTGGTAGGCAAAGGACACATTTGAACACAAAATTTCCACTGACATCCGAAATATCCGCAGGTAGCTGTTTAAAATAATTATTTAAATGCGGCCATTTTGACTCTAGGTCTCTTGACTAGGTCATCGTTAATTAATATTAATAAATAATAATAATAACAATAAACACCACAGTGGAATTAAAAGAAATAAATGACTCGAAATCGACGAAATATCAATCGAACTGCATCGCTCTGTGCACGTCAATGAAGTAATGAGCAGCAAAATAACAATACCGTAATTAAAACTAAATCATGGAGTATAATTATTTTGAAACAGATGTTCAAAAATAATTTTTCCCCAAGAGTTATTTTAATAATTTCAAGTAGGTAATAACGTATTTCTCGGGATCAGCCTGGATGTGTGGCGTATGCGTTAAAATGTCACTGGGTAATGAGTTATGGCTTACAAGAGAACTAATTAAGTAGGTACACGAACGTCGAGACCCGTATACAATTATATAAGTACCTACATATAAATATACATTTATATTAATATTATTTAAATATAATATAATAATATTATATTATGACAATGATAAACATAATACCTATATGATTAGGTATATATTTTTATCCAATATGGCTCGTTTATGTACAATAATAATTCATAATAATATAGTATATACTGTATGTATATTGTATATATATCAATAGACAATAATCACACTATTAATTATTATTACATGCGGGTGGGCATTGCTAGTATTAAGGTAATAACACACTAGGCGATTTGAACGCGCGTTTTGAACATCGCGATTTTAAGGGCCCTTTTCCACGAGCGTTTTTCAAACGCGCGTGTCGCTATAGCTCACGCGCGTTCGTGCGTTTTTTAATTTAACTTACGCTCGTTTTTAAATTTAACACACGAGCGTTAGCATTCCATTCACCACTTTATACTTATTTTCCAAACGACAACATGAACTCCGAGGAAGAAGATGCCGTTGCTCTTGTTTTAATAAAAAGAAATAGAAAACATCAAAAAAGAAAACATCGGTTTTGGGTACATCCATTACTTCAACCAAGGGTTCAGACTGGTCAGTTTTATACACTCTACAATGACTTGATACAGGATGAAAACAAATTTTTTTGTTATTTTCGTAAGTCTCGACAGTCCTTCAATGAGTTATTGAATCTAATTATAAATGATATAAGTGGTGAGGATACGAATATGCGACGATGTATTCCAGCGATTGAGAGACTAGCTGTTACATTACGTTGAGTTCATACATTATATATTTTTTATTTTAAATTAATAAAACAAAATTAAGTACAAGCTACGTATTTTGAAAGTAATATCGGAGCTGTACCGTGGCAAGATTCGAAAATTTCATGAACTATATTACATATTATTATAAATGTATATTTTTAGTAATTATTTTTATCATGTTTATTGTGCAGTATAGTAAATTTACCTATTATATTAATATTATATATTATTTTTTATTTGTAAAAGTGATTTTACTTTAAACTTTCGATTAATTTAGTCTTATTTATTAATATAATTTAAAGTATTAATTATTCATGTATTATTATTTATTATGCAACTAAACACTACATGCAAATTGTATTATTAGAAATATAAAAAAAATAATTACATTGAGATGAATTAAGTGTCAATGCTGTTAAGTATTAATTATATTTTTAAATATATGAACAATAAGTACAGTTTATGTATAATGTACTTACCAATGTAATTTTTTTCTGCTATAGGTTTGTCGTAAAAATGTTTGTAAAATATTTTAAATATATTTTCCCAGGCCTTTGTCTTGGCATTTTTCTGGCTATATTCGGCAGTTTGACTGTTCCATATCGCATTCTCGTTCTCAATAGCACTTATAAATAATTCAGTGTCAACATGTTCGTTTCTCGAATCCATAATTGACAAAGAGATAAAAAAAAAAAACTGATTTTCTATATTTTGTATTTTCGTAATAAAACAATTATAGCAATTACCATTAGTTGAAATTTGCCAGTCATGATTTTCTTCATCTTTTGTCAATTATACCAACCCCACTAATTGATATTAAACCTTTTTTGTATAAATTATAATATTATGATAGTTGGTACCGAGACGCGCGTTTTTCTTCCCGTGGAAACGTCCTAACTATCTGCAATTGATTGCTATCGAACGCGCGTAGAAGCAAAACATCGTATTCACGAGCGTAACACGCGCGTTAAAAAATCACGCGCGTTTAAATGGGTACGGTTGTATTGCTCCCAATGCATTTCATAAACGCGCGTTTAAATTCACGCGCGTTCACGCGTTTAAAAACGCTCGTGGAAAAGGGCCCTTAGACGCGAACGCGCTCTCCTTACACATTAGACGCGTGTCGACGCGTTTGTCAACGTTTTAAAATCGCGCTGCGCTTTCACACTGGACGATTTGTGAGCGTTTTTCAAAAATAAAATAGCGCCAAATGTTATTTGAACCACTCAATTATTTGTATTTTGTTGTAGACTAGGTTAGTACTGTTGTTACCGTTCACCGTATATGACTGCGGTTCATTTCTTATTTAACTTTTCGTTGTTTTCGTTTAATTTTTTTTAATATGGAAGTGTTAGACGATATAGAAGCTGCATGCGTTATGTTTGCATTATATGAGGAACATGAAAGTAAAAAACAGAAACCAAATAAAGTAAAAAGACGACATTGGGTCCATCCACTTAATCTGAAAAGACCTGAAAATGGCCAGTTCCAGGTTACATTTATGACTCTGCGTAGCTATCCAGAAGAGTTTATGAAGTATTATCGTATGTCGATAACATCGTTTGATGAGTTGGTAAGTAGAAATAAGTCATTATTAAGTAAAAATAAAAATAAAAATATTTTTTTAAATTTATTTAATGTTTTATATTATGTTACAAATACTCATTATTAACATTACCTACCACTTTTGAATACCTTGTGTTTCGTCTATCTATAATAAATTAACAAATATCTGTGTGGCGTCCTCTTAACAAAATATAATAATAATTAAATTGTTATTTAAGATATCGCTGGTAGGACCGAAATTGTCAAAACAGCATACTGGTTTGCGTGTGCCAATATCACCGGAAGACCGATTCACCGTGACACTGAGGTAGATAATTTTTAAATACAAATTAAGAATGTAGAATTTTTTAATTTTTAATTTATTAAATTATGTTTTAAATAGGTACAGGTACACTTAATTTTTAATAATTATAGTAATGGTTTTGTTTTTGAGCAGAACGAATTTCAGTAGAGGGTGATTGTGGAACATAGTTTAATTCATCATTCACTCTTTGTGGAGAAGTAATAGTAGTATTGTTTATCATAGTTGTAGGCACATTTTGGGAAGCATATTGATGAGGAGTAATATTAAAATGTGGCATGTGTGACAGTGGTGTTTGATGAGAAATAGATGAAGATACACTTTGAGGATTATTATTTGTGGTGTAATAGTGTTGAGGGGGGAATGGGGAGTAAGGTTGATTATTTGGTGTATTATAAGGATAAGTAGGGGTTACAGAACAGTTTTTTACTCGTTGTATGGCATTTAAAAATTCAACATTTTTTGGTCTTCGTCCAACGACTTAATTTGAGGGAGTAATGACAACAAAAAAGATTTTTCCGGGTCTTCTGGTATTTTTTGGTGGTTTTCTAATATTTTAAACAAAGAGGATCCAAAATTCGATGTCGCAGTCTTCTTTGGATTTTTTTTAAATTTTTTATTTGGTGGTCGTGCACATGGCTCCTCTGCATCGGAATTGGTCATGATCTCTTCTGCATTTTAATTGTTCCCAACAACTAAATCCACATCTTCAGTCTCCCCACTTTCACCCACAGATACCTCGTCTTCGCTTGACTGTATATTACTTTCAGTCCTTTAAAAATATAATTTTATATTATTCATAATTTAGTTAATTGGATTATGTTTAATACTAATATAAGTAATATATATAAATATACAGTGCTCGAATTGGAAAAAATAAAAGAAAGGGGGTCCAAAACTTAAAAAAAATTAGCGTTCCAGACAATGATTAATCTTAACCTAACCCGAGGGGATACCCATCTACCACACCACCACCCACCAACAACAACATTAGAAAATAAATAATACACCAATGTCCAATACCAATAACATTTACCAACAATCAATAAATATTCTTTTACTCCTCATTTATTAAAATAAAAATTAATGTTAGACATTATTAACACTTATAAGTTATAAGTTATAACTAATTAGGTAAGACGTAATTCATTTTAAATTTTAAAATCACACTCCGTAATTGTTCATTTTTCATTTGTTTTCACAAGTGTGGTTCACTATAGTATTATTTCTAATAACTACTTTTAAATAAAAATACAACTAAGTTACTCAGTGTACTGTTGTTTGCATCTATTATCAAACAGAAACATATACGATATGGATATACAATAAATGTAATTTAAAATAAAAGTTCAATGTAAATTAAGATTTAAATAGGAGCACAAAACACGAAAAAAAATATTTTCTTTAAATTTTTTTGAAATGTTAATTTAGTTTAAACACTGATTTACCAACCTAAAAATTTAATTTTCGGAAAAATGTGTCATTTTATGTGTTAAAGACGATAAAAGTATCAGAATTACAATAAACCTTTAGTTTTTTAAATATTAAAAATCTTTAAAATTATATTTTTGTTAAACGGCCCATCATGGCGATTTAAATATAAAATAAAAATTTTTAAATATCTCTTTTAATATTTAAAAAAATTAAACGTTATATTACAATTCTGATACTTGTATCGTCTTAAACTCATAAAATCACACATTTAGACGTAAATTAAATTTCACTCCTGAACAATGTGGATTTCGGAAAAATAAAGGTACAAACAACTGTCTATCAAAAATACATACAGAAATACAAAACACTTACTCCGAAAATCAATATCTAGGTATGATTAGCTTAGATTTGAGGAAAGCCTACGATACCACATGGAAACCTCACATTTTGACTAGTCTCTCCAAAGTACTTAGTCAAAATCAAATGTTCAATTTCATCAGGAATTTCCTAAAAACAAGAACATTCCAAATTAGAATCAACCATTCACTTTCCAAAGTTTTCGAACAAGTCAACGGAATTCCTCAAGGATCAACAATTTCGGTTACTCTTTTTCTGATAGCCATCAACAATATCACTCAAAACATATCCTTCCCTGTCAAATCTACCCTCTACGCGGATGACTTTAATATTTATTGCCGGAGCAAATCCCTAGCCACTGTCCAATGCCATCTTCAAAAAGCCATCAACAACCTACAAAAATGGACACAAACATCCGGCTTTACCTTCTCTCCCGAAAAATCTCAATGCATCGTCTTTACACGTAAACGGTCTCAAAATCCAATTAAGATAAAATTGGGCGACCATCTATTAATAAATAATAATACAATCAAAATACTCGGTATCATTTTCGACAAAAGATGCTCATGGACCCATCACATCAATTTTTTGAAATAAGCCATCACTCCACGTCTCAATATTATAAAAATGTTATCCCATACTTCATGGGGTTCTAAAAGTCATGTATTGTTAACAATCTACAAATCCCTCATACTATCCAAACTCGACTACGGATCATTCATTTGGACAACAGCTAATAAATCGATTACAAAAAAACTAGATACAATTCACAACTCCGGATTTCGTATGGCTATTGGTGCCTATCGCTATAGCCCAATACCGAGCATCTACAACCTAGCATGTACACCTCCTCTCGATATAAGAAGACTCAAAATAACATTAAATCACGAATTAAAGCTAGCTAACACTCTCCCTTCGCTCGACTTCAATCCAAAATTCAAAATTTTAACAACACTACTCCAGGAGAACAATCTAGTCATCTCTGATTTATTAACTATTTCACCTCCCTTAACACCCCAATGGACAAATCTCAATGTAGCAAACACCGAACTCTACATATTAAAAAAAAAAGACACTCCGCCTTCAATCTATAAACAAGAATATTTCTACATGATACAAAACATAAAATGCGAAAAAATATACACGGATGCATCCAAAAGCCAAATCGGGGTCGGGGCTGCAGTTGTTTGGAATAACATTTAATTCATGTACAAACTCCCTAGCTCCTGCTCAATCTTCACAGCTGAAGCATTCGCAATAATCAAAGCCCTCGTTTTAATAACCGATCGCCATCTCCAAGACACCATCATCTTTACTGACTCCCTCAGCGCCATCAATAACATTAATAATACTAATAACCCATCAGACATCGGCCTTCATATTCAAAACAAAATATACACTCTACAGAAAATCAATAACTTCAAAATCAAACTTTTCTGGATCCGTGGACACTCCAACATCATTGAAAACGAGCGCGCCGACCTAGCTGCCAAAACGGCAATCACCTCTACACTATGGTCTCCCACTAATATCATCGCATACAGGAACATACAAGCACTGATAACTAACAAATGTCATTTAAGATGGCATCAGAAATGGTTATCCTACTCCACTAAGCTAAATCAAATAAAACACAACACTGACAATTGGACATTTCCCATCGAAACACCTAGAAAATTCGAAGTTATCATAACGAGACTGAGAATTGGCCACTCGCAAATATCACACAGTTTTTTAATGGCCAAGGAAGACCCTCCAACATGCGCAACATGCGGCGTCCAAATTACAATTAAACACATACTCACCGAATGCCGCACATACCTCAACATCCGATCAAGCCTCAACATGCCCGAACCTCTTTCTGAAATACTTCAAAATCATCCCAAGGCCATAACAGGAATCATCCAATTCATCACAGCAGCAAACCTTCAATCCAAAATCTAAAATTAAGTTCTCTCGTATACGTATCCAATATCCATATTGTTAACATTTAGTTTAAGTTAAAAATATTATGTAAGCCCAATGGCCTATGCTGCCGAGGGCTCTTTTTAAATAAAAAAAAAAAAAAAAATTTCAACAATAAAATGTTTAGGTTGGTAAATCGTTGGGTGAAGTGAGGAACTTTTACACGTATAAGATAGGCAATTACGATGAGACAGGCCCAATGACGCCTCGCGTCTTTTTTCAATTACTAATAACTTATTATGAATTATCATAAAAAAAAAACCATACATTTAGTTTTAACATCTTATTGAATAGGTATACACAGCTTCACGAAGGCACGAAATAAAAAATACAATATTATTTCAACAAGATAAAACGTTCCATCCCCCAGTTCTAAAGAAAATAATTAGAAGGGATGCGCTTAAAATATAAAAAAATAAAGAGGAGCTCCGTACCCTTGCGTCCCCTCCCCCAATTCGAGCACTGCCTATACAACTATACCATTTCATTATATATACTTTTAAGGTGCCTACTTAATATTTATAATATGTGTGTGTGTTTGTTCGAAAACAGGCACATTTTTAGTATTATTTACGCAAAATTGGATTTCGACAAAATCGATTTTGATTTTTGGTGTAATTCTAAAACAAATGACCATAGATACATGAACATTTCACTGAATGTTTATATTAGCATATGCTATACACCATAACATTTTCTAAATATTTTGTTTTGTTTTGAGTTGTTTACGGACATTTTCAGTTTCCAATTTTTTTAGTTTTTATTTCCATAGATATCAATAAAAAATTATTCTTTGGTCAAAAATCTTAACATTTTATAAAAGACTTCTAATTTTACAGTAACCGAAAAATATTAAAATACATATTAATATATTATGCACAATTCTTTTTACAAGTATTTAAAGTTTGAATTTTGACTACATTTATAAAATTTAAAATTTAAAAACGATTTTGTAGTTTATTTTGTCTGAGATTACTTACGTTCGATTTTGCATGGTTGGTCTTAAAAATTCTAGTACATTGGCATATATGTACGGCTTAGATCTTGTTGCCGCTTGCCCAGATTTGGTGATGCATTTACGACGGTAACTATCCCTTAAAGATTTCCATTTTTTCTGTAATTCTGCTACTATAAAAATAATATATAACAATTAAATAATACAACTATACATATAAACCGGTATAAATTAATTTGATATAATTTAATATATACAAATTTATATTTATTTATATCTAACCTATAGCTACTATAATAAAAGTATGCAAATTTACTTATACTCGTAGTAAATAATTAAAATAATTATATCATAATATACATGAAACGGGTGATAGATGATAAGACGTACCTACTAAAAATGTTTGATAAGTATAGAGCACTAAGAATCAAACATCTTCATAACAATATAATATACTGTTCGTTAAAACATACTTTTAAAGCAATAATCTGTATTTAATTATTCAGGTATTTGGCAACTGGAACTAATTTTTCTGCTCTCCATTTTGATTTCCTAATGGGCGTGTCAACCATTGGAAAAATTGTACGTGAGACATGTGAAGTATTGTGGAAAATTCTTCAGCCTAAAGAAATGGTAGTGCCGACAATGCAAGATTGGTTAGACATAGCAGAGGGGTTTTATAGTAAAACTCAATTTCCAAACTGTGTGGGGGCCGTAGACGGGAAACACATTCGACTAGAATGCCCCCCTAAAAGTGGTACCTTATACTACAACTATAAGCATTTCTTCTCCATAATACTTACGGCAATCTGTGATGCAAACTATTGCTTCACGATTATAGATGTGGGGTCGTATGGCAAGGAGAGCGATTGCAACATTTATTTATTGTGTTTAGCATCAGTTACTGCAGTATAAAGTGCACTAGCACCTGCAGCCAAAGCACTTACACCTT